AAGCAGAACAGCAGAGAGGGAGAAGGAAAACAAACATTACAAGCAGGACCCTTTTTGTTTAATGTCTGAGTTTAAACCACTAGGCTCATTATATTCTGACCTACTCATTTTACATATGGTAACTTTATAGTACACAGTGCAGGTGTACTAATAAATAGTATTAACAGCAGAAACAAATTAGGCCCAAGCACATTTTAAGTTTTTCTGATGTGTTTTGGTGGGTGAGACAGAAAGACAGAGATTTAGCAAGAAGAAAAGATGTGTCAACACGTGAAAGAAGGAAGGAATCTCAGAAGAAAATAGGGAGGAGGCTGTAAGAAACATAACATGAGTAATACCAGAGTCTAGTATAGTCCAGATCAACTGTTTCAAGTTGAAGAGACTGGTTTTCTACTGCTTGACTACTGGCAAAATTGGAAGCACATTTACTTGACTTTTAGCAGACATGCACAAGCAGTTTTTAAACCTTATAGAAACAGGGTCACTAAGATGATTAGCTTAATTTTTAAAAATACTGCATAATGAATTCTAAATTACCTATACAGAACACTTTCTAGGGAATATTACATGAGGTCAAATCCTGACCAAGAGCAGCAGAGATGGTACCACGACCAGGCCAGGCCCAGCTGCAGCCGGAGCAGCAGCGCCCACAGCCTGACCCTGGCCCGGGAGAGCCCGGCCGGGTCAGCAGCCACAAACCAAACACACACAGGCCAGGACACCCCAGTGGCAGGTCCTGGGGGCTGCAGACAGGCAGCCTGAAGAGCAGAGGCCTGCTGTGAACCAGGGGCATTCAGCACCACGGGAGCAGAGGGGCCGGGTCCCACAGCACCCCTGTGAGCACTGGGCCAAACCCTGCAAGGCTTAGATCACCAGGAGACCAAAACCAAACCAACCTTTTGCACGTGCTCCCACTGCTGGTAAATGAGGGGTTTTAAAAACTGGTTTTTCAGTACTATCATCCAGTATGTGGCCTGTATTCTTAAGTCCAGACAAGCAATTCCTGGGACTCTCTAACACAGCCCCAAGCCAGTTAAACCTCTGCCATCCCTTGGCCCCTCAGATAGTTCTCCTACAAACCCCTCGTTTGCCACAGGCAGATCCTTTCCCTGCAGGCTGCTGCACGTCGAGGCAGCTCACCGTGAAGGGAGCTCGGCTTCTCTGACACACACCTGGAAGTCACTCACACAGAACGCAGAGCAGGAGTTTTGCTCCCGAGTACCCGAGCGCTTCTCCC